GTATTTTTAATCTACCTTCAGATAAACCCTTTAAAGTTCCATTCCTCTTCAATATACATTTCGTTAAACACAAGTCACTCCTATGACACTACACAGCGAACAGCTCACATACTCTTCACAATATACTGTCAAAATGAGAATTGACTCAGTCAGGTTCTAGCATACATTGTCCTCCTTTGAGCTCACACATTTGTACTCTGAACTCCACTCAAAACTACTGGTACCTAAATGAATACTTTTCCAGCCTCTCCTTCCTGACTTTAAAAATATACAGTTATCCTTGGAAACAGACTCGGAATGCATACCAGCCACCTCCCAGCACCATCACCAGGTCAAAGAGCAGATGCTGAGGTTGCACTGGCACTTCCCAGTTATCAATGGTTTATGGTTTTGCTGAATCCAGCTTTCTAGAGAGCTTGAAGAAACCACTGAACAACTTCACACAAGACAATTCACACTGACTATTCAGTTAATGCATGTACACAGGTTGATTTAGATGCTAACACACTGACTATTCCCACACTTGAGTGCTCCAAATGCTTTTTGTAAAAGACCACTTAACTGTTCCTATCACTTCTAATATATCCTTGCCAGAAATCATTCCTGGTTTTAAGCTGCTTTTCCCCAGAAAAACTCCCACATTTGAGAGTCTTCTGAGTTATCCGTTACGGCCAAATAACCACACATAACCTAAAATAGCTTGCCCAGAGGATGTGTCCTGGTACAAGAATGAAAATGATGGTTTGGTTTCTATCTTCCTTTTCTTAAGAAAAGCTGTATTTTCCCAGAGTTTCTATTTAACATCTATTCTTTTGTTAGACCTCTGCAGGACATGAGGAGTTTACTGTCTATGCTAATAAACTATAGCAAATTCAGACACTAATGACCATGAGCTGTGTTGTCACACGTATGAACAGTCAAGCCTTTTCTCTAACCATGTAATTGAAATTTTAAAAATACAACACTAGAGGCAAAATTAAGTATTAAAAATGTTCTAATAAAACCTATTAGCTATTTCTTATTATTTTTTTCTTTAGAAAACAATTATGGCCAACCAGAACAGACACATGATGTAACAGGCAAATCATTTAAGGAAACACAAGGCACCAACCAGACTTATTATAACAGATAATAATCACAGGTATGTTGAAACAATTACATTTCTATATCTAATTATTTGGCGTCTTAGAACAAAGCAGAACTAGATCCACAACGGAACCAAAATGCCATGCCACCTTCTAGACTCCATAACCCACAAATAAACAACCCAGACCTGCCATAAAATGAAAATAACATGTTACAGGTACTGTTCAAATATCTAACATTCAACTTCAGTAGGAACTGGCCAAGTCAGATAAGAATGAACATAAAGAGCAGAGATTTAAGTCTTCAAAATTTCACGCCATGCTAGGTTAAAAAAAACACCCCCAAGAAAAATCCCTTTCCTTTACTCTTTCAGCACTTTCTAAGAAGGAAAGGAGACCAGAACCTGTATCATTATTTTGTACTTGATCAAGCCAGTCCCTGCACTACATATTCACTCCCTTACTAAGTGACTCCTCAAGAATCAAACCAAAACACTCACTGGTCTGGCAGTTAAAGCATTCCTTTTGGGAACTGGCAGCTCCCCTAAAGAGTAGAGGGATTTGAACCTGAATCTCAATATGCTGGGTAGGTACTCAAAACCATTTCCACATCTTTAAAGAAATGCAACATTACATCCTTTTTCTGCCAAAAGAGAAGTGTGCAAGATTAGGTCTTTCTTCATGGAATTGGGGCATTCCTTTTAGAAGTGTGTATTACTGATGGTATCTGTGTTTGCTTTCTAATTTAACTGCTGCAACCTTTGAGAGGTACAGCATATTTTTCTTCCCACACAGCTATGTGTTAGTGTGCAATTAGACACCTCAGCATTATAAAACAAGCCTTTGCCAGCAGACATATACTGATCACCTTCCATTAAAAATAAGAACAAACCCCAAAAGCTTACTTTAAAATAGTCTGAGATGTAAACTTAATTAGTTATAATTTCCTCTTTCTTCTGCTTCATACTTTAGCTTGAACTTCACTTGAGACATTTTGTCTAGCTTGTCTAGCTGGATTGGTCAGAACCGCTGTATTGAGGAACGCTCCACAGTAGATAACTACACTAGAAAACCAATCCTGCCAGCAGACCTGATTTTAAACCACCACTTAAATTGTTTCCACCAAGTTTTCTACCATGGACATATTGCAAACCTTTTCAAATTCACAGACATATTGCAAACCTTTTCAAATGGACAAATGCCTCTCTTTGTCCATTAATAGAAGGAAAACAACAGAGCAGTATTTAATTAATATTTACAAAAAGTCTTGAGGTTTTCAAATGTGTGATCAAGGCAGCAATTAGTCTTCCAAATACCGTAATGTTGAGTATTTCTGCAACAGTGACTGAGAAAATACTTTAAAAATGTCAGTTGCTAAATATTTAAGAATTTAGAACATGGCACGTGAATACAATTATAAATCCTGCTATCTAGGAAGTACCACACTGTTTGAAATTTTAGCCTTCAGCATTCTGAAAGCCTAACACTGTAAAAGGAATGCACTTCAAAGTACAAACTGGGAAAAAACCGGTAGCTGCAACAGTTAAAACAGTTAGCTTCTGATGTTAAGATCCAATCTTTGAAGAGACGTAATAGAATTTGCATCTAAAAATGCTGTAGGTTTCTTAAAAGCCTGCAACTTTTAAGTATAGCAGGAGATTCTAATTAAAGCAGCAAATGAAGTATTAGGAAAATTTAATCTTTTTATTACAACAAATGTAATTATTTTTTTATAAACAAGGATCAATAAATGGATGCACATAAACTTTAGACTACATTAAGTTTTCTGTATCCATAACTCTTGGTATGAATCCCAATTTCTGCACTGCATTTTCTATGGTTCTTTATCTTGTACTGCTGTGGTACTGAAAGATGCCTGTTGCCTCTCAAAGGTCATAACTAACTCCTGCAGATTCCTAAGCCAGATAAATCAGTCTACCGAAGAAATATTTTGATGCACATTTCTAAGTTCAGAATTTCTGAGAAGAAATTTAATAAAAACTAAGCAAAATTAGAGTCTTTACCAAGAGCTAATTATTTACAGAAAAGCATCACCATCCCCTATTATTCCACACATTGCAAGGTAATATGACACACATTGGAAGAATGTAAACTCTGAAAAAAATAATTAAAGAGTTCATTGATCATGGACTAACATTTAAGTCTCTATTACTTTATCATTATTAACAATAATGATAATTAAATATAACATCCTACAACACTGCTTCAAAACACTGTAATATTTTTGATATTCTGTTAGAAGTGTCTACAAGAGTAGACAATTACTTAAGTTTTTAATGTGTAAAATACTGTTTGTTTTTTTTTTAAGTACAGCATGTTGGAAAAGAATTAACATGTATCACCCAGCCAGATCTAAAGTGTTTGGCATTCAGATGTGTAGTAACAGCTCTAATATGATCATAAGGAAAATATATGTACTGTGAAAATTTGGACAACAGATCAAAACCAAAAGCTTGCAGACTCAGATGTCTAAAGACAATACAAAGACACCTTTTTTACAAATTCATGAAAAACATCTCAATACTTAAAAAGGACAGAGATCCCTTTAAGGCATAGGCAACAGAAGCATCCAACACATAGAAGATCACCACAGTCACTTGTTAGAAGTCTGACTGCAGTCAGCTGTATATTATCATGTATCTAGAATGAAACTATTTTGCTCTATTTAAGTGAGCTATGGATATAGTCTATGCCTAGATAATTCCAATAGAGGTTTTATCTTTAAAAGAAAATACCCTCCATAGCACTTAATGATATTTACCGCTTTTAATATTCCTCACGAAGTTATTTTTGGTGGATCTGTCCCATGTGAGACATCTAACAATATTATTATTTTAGACAGCTTTGTTTGTATATAAATATTCCGCAGTAAGGTCAAATACAAGTTAATTTAAATTTCTCCCGCGGTCTGCCTCACCGAGCTCACAGTCACCGCGTTCTTTGTTGCCTGGCTGTAGTGTCTCTCTCTCCCGGCACACAGCCTCGATGCCTCCGCCAGGAAAGCGGCAGCACCGCAGGAGCATTACCACTACAGCTTTGGGAAAACGGAGCCGCTCCAACCGGGACGTGCGCTAACTACTGCTGACTGTAAAACACACTGGAAGTCGCTCACGTTCAACCTGCTTTAACTTAGCTCCGCAAAGCTTCATAAACCCATACGAAGCAAAAACTTCACAGAGGAATCATTTCCAAACACAGAGCTGCCAGAGCATCAGAAGTGCACAGGAGGGGGCCCTAAAGTTTTCCCCTCATTGTTTAAACTCGTACACAACGCTTAACAAGTCCGCAGAGAGAGCACACAGACAAGTGAGGGAGGTTTTCTTACAACTCCTGGGCCTAAGCTCCGGGAGGCACCCCAAGAAAGGGCGGCAGGGAAGCCGCAGGAGCCGCTCTCGGGAGGCCCCCGCGCTCCCGCAGCGCCGCCGGCACCTGTAGCCGCCGCGGCCGGGGCCGCCCCGCCCGGCCGGGACCCGCGGCCAAGGTACAGCCCGGGCCACCGCCAGCGGGGTGCGGGGACCGGGGCCGAGCCCCGAGTGCCGCCGAGCCCGGCTGTGCCCCGCCGTCCCGCCCGGTCTCGGCCGGCCAGACCCCCGGGCCTGCGCGGGCGCCGTGGCCGCGGGGGAGGCTCCGGCCAGACGCGACTCGCGGCTCCGCGGCGGGACCTGTTGCTCGCGCGCCGGGCACGGGCGCTCCGCTCACCGTCCGTCTCTTTCCGCCGCTGACACGCTCCAGCCCTGCCGCCGGCTGGAAGTCGGAGTCCCCAGCGTCCCGCGGCGTCCCCGCGCCCAGCCCGCGGAACCGTCCGGTCACAGCCCCCGCAGCGCTGCGCAGCCGCCGCCCAGCCCGGCCCGGCCCGGCCCCGCGCCCGCCCCAGCGCCGCCGCCCCGCCCCGCCGCGCAGGCGCGGGGCCGCCCCACGGCCGCCGCGGCCGGGCGGGGAGCGGAGCTGCCTCAGAGGCCGCGGCGGCGGTCGGGGCTGAGGTTTGGGGCTGCCCTCAGGTGGAGTGGACACGTGAGACGGGGTGCTGCTTCTGTGTCTCCTTCCTCGCAGAATCGCGGAATCGAGTCGGTTGGAAAAGACCTCTGAAATTACCGAGTCCAACCTGTGACCTTGTCAACTGAACCCTGGCACTGAGTGCCACGGCCAGTCTTTGCTTAAACGCTTTAGGGACGGTGACTCCCCCGCCTCCCAGGGCAGCCCATGTCAGTCCAGTCCATTCCGGCCGTCATCTCCCATCTCTCTGCCGCGGCTTTCTCTGCGCCCCGAGCGGGACCCCCACGGCAGCCCGTGCCCCGGGCACACCTGGCTCCCCCCGGCCACTCGCTCCTTCCCTCTCGCCCAGCTCCAGCTGCCGCCCCCCGCCCCTTCTCCTCCACCCTCTCTGGCATCCCCCCGTTCCCCCGCTGCTGCTGCCGCATCCTCAGCCCAGCTTGAATGCCCCAGCCTGGCTGGAGCCTGTGTGGGCAAAAAAGTATTTAATCTCATCGAGAGTCCACTCTGCCTGGGAGGCTGAGGCATAGAAGGCGCCCATAACACTCTGTCTGGAAGAATGAAGAAAACAAGAGGTTACAAGTAATTTTACCGGGTTGTTTGTATCCTTGGCTGTGTTTTTCAGGAACAGGGAAACGTCATTTTAGCGCACAACAGTTAAGTTTGACTTGGAGCTGCAAGCTGCACTCACTTCCCTGGTTTTTCAGGCTAGCCTGCCTAGATCGTTGCTCAAGGCATTAGACGAAATATTCTGTGTAACCAGACTAGTAAAAAAAGGCTCTCTTAGATAACTAAGAAGTCCTAAAGAGATACCTGCTTTCGTCCATCTCTCCTTGCTTCAGTTTAACTGTATAAAAATCTGTGCAATTTAACTCTATCATTCTTCACAGTGAAATCCACACTTTCTATAATGGTACCCTATGTATCATGTTTTCTTTTGTATCAGTTCTAAACACTGAGATACAAAGATTAATTTTCTTACTCTGTGAAAAGGCTTAATACAATAAGGTATGTCCTGCCCAGTTACCTGCAGAGGAAAGTCTGAAAGCCTTTTTACCTTTTCACAGTGCGGCTCAAACTCCCCAGGGCAGTATGCCTTGTAAGTGCATTTAACATCTGTTTTTGTTCTGACCAATACTGAGGGGCTTTGCATCAAGTGAACACAACTGGAGCACTGCAGGAGATACAGATGTTAGTGGACTGCAGAATTATTTACTTGGGAAATCAAAAAGAGAGGGAAACCATGACACTGGTAATTTGTGGCTGAACAGCACCAAGTGTGGTTCTTCTCACTTTCATATGAACATGGTTCATAGAAGTTCACACAAACCCTTTCTTAGAAAGCACTTTGACAAAGGACCTTATAACCAAAGGAGGTTTTCAAAATGTGATACTTACCTAGAAGATATGACTGCAAAAAGTAGGTAGGTTCATCAGTTATCTGTTCACTGTTGAACTCTTTTCTATGTCCAAGGTTGGAATGGTCAGACAAAAAAAGACACAAATTCTGCTTACAGTTTCCTTCAGCTGATAGCATTTGTACTTCCTTTCCACAGAAAATCTCATTGCCTGCAATTTGCATGTTGTCCAGCAGCTATTTTTTAAGCCAGGATAAGGGAATTTTCTTCAATATGGTATGTAATTTGTCATAAAATAAAGAAGGATTCTCATCAGTTCTAGAATTTCCATTTCCGTCCTTTCCTGTCTTGTACTTGTAGCTGAAGTTTAATTTTTTTTTTTGCCAGAAGGGGTTACCAGACCAGATTAAGACTGAGTTTGGAATATCTCTTGGATATATCTGCTTAAAGATCTGTTTGTTTCTTTGGTAACCAATCTCCTCCCTCTGGCTTTCACAAGGCATCACAGAAGCCCTAATATTAGCTCGTGCCCAGCTGGCAAATCCATTCAAATGGTACTTGAATGAGATGTGCTTGGCTAATTCTATCCAACAGATTAAAGTACTCTGTCAGGCCAAGAAGTTGTCATACCTGAAAACGATTCACAATAGAGAACAGGATCAGCAGCATTATTCGTAAGGACCCAGATAACCTTTCTGTTTTGAATCACTTCAATAGACAGCTCTTATGGTTCATTTTGTCTGTGGGTGCTGTTTGGTGGAATGCTGAGAACACAGAAATTACTCTGAGAAAATAAACATTTTAGCTTAAATTTAACAAAATCTTCAAATTGAAAAGATACAGAGAAGGAAGGTGACTGGGAGGATGAGGAATGACAATGGAATGATGATTGGGAAGATCAAAGCTTTTAATCTTCCTTTGTTTTGTTTTAGCTGATTATTCTTTCATATGAGGATCTATAAAGACAGCTTTTAAAGGAAATGAGAAAACTACTTACCAAAGCAGTATAAAGCTTTCTGTTCCATCTCTTGTTCAAAGTGTTCAGTTATTATCTTTAAGTAGAAAGGAACTAAAAATAAATACCCAAGTGATACCTTTTGTGAGCTTGGATCTTTGAACATTTTAATTTTAGACAACAATTTTTCTATGTTTTTGCTACTTGGCATTATGGAAACATTAAAGCCTAGTTGCAGCTGCAGAACCAGCGTATTTAGGCAACATTATTTATTACAGAACTTTATTTTTAAGATTGGTGCATTAATTCCACAGACAAATATTTTTTAACAAAGAAAATGTTCATCTTTGATGAATTGAATTTGACATGAATTAGTGTCACTGTTTACCAGCAGGGTGCAGATTGTGATCAATCTAAATCTGGCTGATTGCAATCAATAGAAAAGAGAAAAAATAAATTCTGACTCAAGCTGAGGAATCAGCCTAACATAGAACAAAATGTTTTCTTTGAAACCATTGCCCTCTGGAGGGGAAATGAAAAATCACCAAGGGATCAGATAACTCCTTTTCGTGTCACTGTTTAACTATATTTGTGCTTTGCAATCTATGAATGGTTCTACAGAGGGTTGCAAAAAAGCAGTGCTGTCAGAAGGGCCTCACTGGCCACAGTGCTTATGTCAGTGGGTTGGAGAAGTAATCCCCATCTGTCTGCCCCATAACTCTCCTCCCCTTTATCTCTAAACTCTTTATCTCTAAACTCATGGAGCATCATTTCTACAGCAGATGTACTTTCTCTTCTAACTCACCTTGGATCCTTTCCAAGCTGGTGTCATCCCTCTTTATTTGCCAAAATACATTTTTATGCAATCCCTGAGGCATTCTTGTCTGCCTGATGCCACACTCTGTATTCCATTCTCTTTCTTGACCTTTCTGCTGTTTGGTTGGTTGGTTAGTTCTTTTATTATCTTGATTACCCTTTTCTTCTTGATCTTTAATTCTTGCACTGCTCTGAGAAATTATGTACTGTTCTTTTTATCTCTCTACTTTCATGGCTGACATCTATTGAAATAGACTTTTTTTCCTCCTGTCTCTGAGAACCTCACAGGGATTTTTCCCTTGGCCTTCAGATATTGATAGCTTGTATCTTGGATTATCACATTTAAATGTCACCTGTAATTGAATATGAATGAAAGTGAACTCCTGCCTGCTCAGACTTTGTCTATATATTCTCCCTATATTGCTGGGGAAATGACAGCATTTCTCAGTGAACTTTCCAGCATTTACAGCAATCTGATACCTCCTGACTACAAATTTGATGATTGTTTTAACACTTAAGTAGACACATGCCCCAGCCATCTGAAAGAATGTAACAGCAGCACTAGTCCACATGTAGGGCTGGTTGCATTTAGTATCTAATGTTTTGAAGAAGAGTGCAAAACATCAAAGTCCATAAGGCAAATTCTGCATTAAACAAGGAAAAAAAAGTAGAATTCTCAGTCTCCATAACCCAGCAACAGACACCCTAAATTTTGAAATCAATTACAGGAATCCAATTTCATTTCAACATTTTTCATTGTTCAGGACAACAAATACTAAGGATTCAAATGTAGTTACATTTTTCCTCTTGATAGCATCTAGAATTTTTGCATTGAATAACCTCATTCTGCATTCAATTTCATCTGGGTAGCCAGAACATCTTCTTCTCTGGTTTCTAGTGTCCTCTGCCACTCCTTATAATCCTTCAGATAAAAAATTGTACAATTCCAAGTAAGGTCATAATATTTATGAGTAGGGTCATAAACCCAGGAGAAGTTCAGCTGCAGGAAAAAGTTGATCTCCAGAAGAGACGTCTTAAATCTGGGAGTACTATCCATCCCTCAATGCGAGGTTTTTCAGCTCAGAAATAGGAATGGTTCCCAGAACACGGGTGCCCCGAATAAAAACTGGAAGTGAGGTTGTTAGTGTAACACTTTGGGGCACTATTTTTAATCCAGGAAAGAAAGAACAGGCAATAAAAATTATCCTTCTTCCACTGTTTTCCCCTACTAAGTTTTACTCAAATTAGTGATTATCTTTTCTCTTTGTATCTGTTTGCTGATTCTTGTTTTTCCTCTGTTTGTGAAGAAATAACAACTTATGAGATAGCTCAGGGATCTGTGAGAAAACAGGGGAAGAACCAACAAAAAGAACTAACAAAAGTTTCAGCAGTTGATACTGCCTAAGGAAAATACTTAGGTGGTAAATCCTATTGAAAGAAGACATTTGTGGTTTTTAGATTCTTCCCAGATACAATCCTCTTTCCTGAAAGGCAGCATAGTAGTGGTAATTATGTTAAAGACAAGAGCTTCTTATCTGATCATGCTGCAGTGTAAAAGCATGATCAGATAACACCCAAAAGTGTGACAGTATACTTCACATATTCTATAAACCTGTAATGCAATATTTTTTCTCTTGAATGCAAACTAGATGTACAGTAGGACAGATGTAAGATACTGTAAAACATACACAAACAACATCATAATTCTCCTTTTCCCCTTTTTCTAACCGTTTCACTGAAATAATCTTCCATGCTATGCTTTATTAATCTTTTTTGGTATAGACTTTCAGTTTGACTTTCAGCATGATAACTCTCCCCTCCCTTAATTACTGACACAAGAAGATTTGTGGCTTACCTGTGCTGTACCTTTAACATTCCTATCTGAATACAGCATGAGGCAGAATCACTTTCAAAATTGTTCTTTTTAAAACCTTTGGTTGAATATTCCTTTGTTTTTTCAGCTTTCTTTCAGCATATTATAGACAACATCTGGGACAATTAACTGCTAGCCAGCATGTCTGTTGTTCCCCAATTTTAATTGTTGCTCAAAATCTGCTTTATTTGGATCCCTAATTCTGTAAGTTTTATTGCAAATACTCTGAAACTGAGACCAGTCTTTTTTTTTTTTTTCTCTTTGAGACTCATGCTCAGAAAAATCCTTCTTATGTCATTTCATTACATGCTATAAAGCTGGAGTTCATGGCACACAGGAAATTCAGGTATGGCATGCAGTCCCTTTGCAGAAGTCAATGCTAATCCCAATGTAATGTCTTCCTTATAAAATGCCAGTAGAGTTCATTTACCACTTCAAGTAATGGAGGCATAGCTGCTTGATTTGTGATAGTGAATTATGGAGAATAGCACCATCATATTCTTGTCATATGTTACAACAGATGTGTCATATGCCGTAAGAAAAACTCATCTACCTAATACCTTTAAGAAAGCAGTAGCAGCTATACAATTGTCTTTAAGGACGGAAAAAGTTGTTTTGATACTAGCAGAATAATCCTTTCCACATAGCTATGTGGACTTATATGGATGGTCTTCATTAACCTTGGATAAACCTATAAACTACAGTGCCATTTTCACACTGTTCTCGTGAATCTGCATCTTGCCAGAAACTTGGAAAAATACTTTGGAATATACTGCATGAATACTGCTCAATTTTGCAATATTTCCTAAAAAGTATAGTCAAAACCATTATGCTTGGTAGCTCTCCTGCTTGCAGGATCTTCAATGACTGTCATTCTCCCAGCAGTAATTTTTCTTTCATGGGAGCTGATAGACTGTATTGGCTCAGTGAGCCAGCACTGCATACTAGTCTACTGAATCAGCTCAGTATAGGACTGTTTTGGTATGTAACCCAGCAAGCATCCGTGATGTTATTTTTCTTTGCCCCAGGCACAGCAATTAAGAGGTATTTTTTACTACATTTGCAATGCAGGCAATTCGTCCTTCTTCCCACTGTTGTAGTCCGGGAAACACAATACTCTGACGTGTATTCTTTGCAGCATTGCCTGAGAGCATTTTAGCTGGTATTCCAGTAAGCTGAGGCTGAATAGAGGCTCCATTTCCATGGGACAGCACTCCTTTGCCACACCTTGCCTCTTCAAGGTCTGTCAGTGACACTTTTAGTCAGCACAGTGATCACGGTTTCTGCAGTTAAAGGACCGTATCTACCTGTTCAGTCAGTCAGGAGAAGCACAATGCTCAAGAGTAGTTATTCTGGTTTTGTTTTGCTAAATTAATTACTTCAGAACAAATGTCATGGGCTTTGTGGTCACTTTTGTCACATTTACCACTGCAGAGAGTAAGTCTTTGTGGAAGTTTTTTGTTAATTCTTCAGTCCTGTCCCATCAGCTTATCTTGGGTTATGACATACTTGTAAAGGGGCAAATACATTTACTTAACAACAATTCAGAGTATATCTCATTAATATAATTTCTCATAAGAACAATTGCTCTTGGTGTCTGATCCCTATATTTTGATGGATTTAATTTTTTTCCTTAGGATAAGGTTATTTCTGATTGCCTGTTGTTTGCCTCCAGACAGGTTGTTTGAATGCAAATAAATGTATTATTGTCGGCGGTGTGCAATGCTTCTCCAGACATGGTGTTTAGTTTATGAGGGAGGTGTTCCTAATTAAATCTTAAATTTATTGCATTCTATTAGTTAGTATATGCAGCATATCTTGGCATGAAATCATGCATAGCTATTACTTTTGTGTTAGCAAAATTTTAGTTTCTGATTAATATAAATAGCTTTACTCTATATAGGAATATTCTATATAGGAATATTCAAAATCCATATAATGAATTTGCCAACATTGTACAATTTTCATTTTCTTAGCTTCTAATGTGTAAGTTTACATGCTGATTCAGTCACATGCAAAATGATGATGAGTTTAGATGTAAATTAAGGGGCATCAATAAGTTGAGTGGCTTCTGTTTCTGTCATTCCTTGGCAGGTATAGATAACAAGAAATGGAGAAATATAAATGAAAGGAACTGTGGACATTAATGAAGACTTTCTTTAGGTGCCTACTTGTTCCAGATAAAAAGATGGTCTGTACAGATTTGTTCAGAAATGCAGGATGTCAGAAAGGGTGCTAATGCTTATCCTAACAGGACTTTGTGGAGAGTACTTTAAAACAGGTTCACATTCTGCTTGAAATATGAGCCTGGCAGACCTCATGCTTGAGGACACTGCAGACATGCTATCTGGTGATAAATTCAAACTCAGACAAGGGGTTTTGGAAAGCCTTACATCACACTGGAAGAGGCGGTATGGACCAACATTATCTCTTTGAACTGGTGTAGGTCTGCAGCTTCCTCAACCTTTCCACCATGCTGTATTTTATCTGTTTTGCAGTGGAGTTGCAATGGCTGCCATCCGCCGAACAAATCAAACAGCAAGGCCTTTCTAGAACAAACCTGCCACTGAACCCTGGAAGGTGAGAGGTAATCACAGCAGGGAATGAGCACAGGGCATCTTCTAATAATTTAGCCAACCAAGTGCTGATCTATTGGCAATAAGTACATAGGAACATTTGTTCTAAAGAACTCACAACCCATGAAGTTTCAGCTTCTCTTACCTATTATTAAATTGGAATAGCAATAGGGAAGTGAGTAAATATCAGAAAAACTGACATACCTGAAGTCTAATTTATTTTCCCACTTTTTTGCTTCATTGTATTTGACCTAATAAAAGCTGGAAAAAGTTTGTTGCCATTGCCAACAAACTCAGGAATAAGCCTTACCCTAGTAATGTCATTATCTACCAGGATTAGTATGAAATAGGTGCTATTTTAATCTCTTTTCTGTCTGCAGTAGAATTAAATTACGTAGTAAGCCTTGTTTTCAGGTGCAGGCACATTTAAGATATTTGAATATTGTGGACTGCACTTATATATGACACATCTGAACATAGCACACATCTGAGCACATCACTTGATGTGTAGATGTAGCTTAAGAAGTGATTGTGGTGAAGCCTTGTTCTTTGCTGTCGTGCAGATGCTTATGTAAAAGACAGTTTTCATTTCCTTCTGCCATCTAACTTTTGCTTGCTTAGTTTGTGCAACAGCGCCAACAAAAAAATCTGCTCCTTTTCTGCACAAGCCAGGGTGCATATGGCAGTGCAGGAGTTACAGAAAAGACAGATTTCTGGTGCCAGAACATACTGCTGATTTTGGCCAGAAAGAAAACATCGAGTGAGGCTCACACTATATGATTCCTTCAAATACTGGGAGTCTAAATCAAAACTATCTGTATGCAGATCCTTCAGCATTCAAGACCACTGGCACTTTAGTCACCGAATATTCATACCCTTTTCCTTGATTGCCCATCTTTGTGAACCCAAAGACTTATTGCTGAAATGGTCTTTCAAAAGCCCTGAACACCTATCTGAGAAACCGAAGTCTGGAAACTACAACCTGTATTCTACAGTAAACCTGAAAATGTTTTGCAATAACATACTTTCTGAAGACAAAAATATGACACATTTTACTTTTCAAAGTCAGCAGTAGAAAGAAACTAAATACATTGAATTCATTTTCCAAACATACATACCTAGTTTTCATGTTTACTGTGCTTTTGCTCTTCTGATTTTGCTCCTGTTTGGAAATTGAGATAAGAGCTTTGCTCTCCGCCCATCTAGATTTTGACACCGGTCCCTACTAAAATCTTTCTGTCTTTTTTCAAGTAGCTGAGGTAGGGATACCTGTAAGTCTTCCAAGACAGAAGGATTTCTGTCTAAACAGGATGAAAACAGGGAGGATGTAATAATACGAAAGGAAATCCAGTCATAAACCCCAGCTATAAGGAGGACCACACAATAACAACATGTGCCCAAAAAGGACAAGAGCTGATCCATATTTTCATGACTTAGCAAAATGGAGAAGTGTGTGAAGGAAGATCATTAAAGCAGAGAAGACAATAGAGAGTAACAGCCAACATTTCAAGCTATTGAAACTTTGCTGGAAGTATGACTGGAAAAAATAAGACATCTTAGTTCTGGATCTTTATTATATTGAATCACTAGTGATTGATGGCTAGTGTACAGCTCCTGCTGTACATGCAGGAACTGACATTGATGTCAGGTTAGCTTATGTCCAGAAGTTAGTAAAGGATCTAGTCTTTGACAACAAAAGAATGGTGGCTCTGTAAGTACAGTTGAAGCAGGAAAATATCAGCTAAGAAATTTTATAACTCCTTTACTTACTTTTTTACATTCTCTGCATTCTTGTCTCTACAATGCCCTTATTCTACTGTGTTATTTCCTGAGAGTCCTATATCCCAATCTTGCTACCAGCTTTCAGCTTTTGATATATTTAGAAGAAGGTTTATTAAATATTAGTAGTAATTTTCTATCTATATGAATGTGGGTAGCATTGGCCTGAAATTATTACAGGAGTAATAATTGTGTTTTAAATTTGTTTCTCCTAACTTTATGGTGTTAGTGTTGAGACAAAGAGCTAGTGTAAATATGGGCTCTGTAGAGGCCCAGAGAAGCTGGCTTTTGTCTCAGGGTCACAAGGTCTGTTAATAAAATCACCCTTAAAAGAAGAAAAACAGTACATGGAAATGGGAAATAAATTAATATTTCTTATTTAATCTTCATAGAAATATTTAACACTTCTTGGTGCTAACTCACCTGGGAAGTTCCACATATTTCATGTGGGATGGCCACTGTGAGAGTTTCCAGAAGTTTGTCATACTTTCCTGGGGGAACATTGGCATGCTGTCAGCATCACATTAGGCATTAGTGAACAGGGATTGACAGCACAGAGATCAGTGATCACAGTTGGGTCAGTTGTGGACAAATGGGTTCTGTTTTTGATTAATCTGAACAAAAAAATAAAAGCTCCATCAACGCTGACATTTGCCATATGGTCTATCAGAGACTACAGTACCAATAGATTTCACAGTGTTTTGGCTTGGTGGCCCTAGAGCTTATCTGCTGGATTGGTGAGGAGAGAGGAGAATGTGGAATAATGAAACAGGAGTATGCATAAATAAAAATAAGGGAAAAGAAGTTGAATAAGGATAAAGATGATTGGAAATCACTCATCTTGTGTGATTCAAAACATTGGATATGTGATTGCTGTGGTCAGAAACCTCTTGAGTACTATAATCAATAATTTTTCCTAGTATAAACATGATGGAAGAGACTCTGATCTGAGTCTCTGAAAGAGACACTGAAAGACAGTGAATCATCAGACTCTGTTATGATGATTTCTAGAATTCTTTCTAGCATTACTATGATGTTAATGGTTTTGAACCAGGATCCTGCTAAGTGCTGTACTAAAACAGACTGGAAAAATATCCCAGGTAATTAAGGTGTAAGACATGAAATTACAGAAAGGGAAAAAATGAGAAAATACAAGAAGATAAAAATAAGTCAGTAAGTATAATCATATGATTAAGTTGATAATGAAATCGCATGTTATGTACCATTGTCAGAGCTTGGTTTTGACAGGCATCAGAGAAAAAGTGTCCTAAGAAGGAATTTGAAGGAGGACAGTGCATTAAATTTCTGTATGTCTAGTAGAATCGCCTTCCAAATGTGAGACACAGTATGTAAAAAAGATCAAAGGCTACTTTTAAATTTTATTTTAGTGTATGAATCAGTAATGGAGCTATTTAGCTATTTTCTTGGCTTCATTGGTTAGAGCAGCTGCCTTCTTTGTAGTAAATGAGGTCTGATAAATAAAGCAGGAATAAATCATAAAGTACCCTGAAAAAGGAGATTCATAGCTCATTAACATTCTGCAGGTGTATCAACAATGCAAAATTTAATTAATCAAGGTAAGACCAAAGGATGTCATAGTTATCGCAAAGGGAGGGAGTGAAATCCTCTGAAAAACACTGTTGAGGTACAGCACGTAAATGGAATTCACATATTTTAGACACACTGTGAATGCAGAATTGTAGGAGTGTAGGCTGTTGCCAGAGTTCTGCAGGGCTTTGGCCAGTACTGGATTACAGGCAGGGAGGGCAGTTATACTGCCTGCAAGGGCAGGAGAATCTGCAAGTGGTGAGAGATTGCCCGGGAAGGGCTGGCTTGGAGTTTGACTAGGTTGAACATCCATTGGTGGCTAACAACCTTAATGAGGTAGCACAGAACCATATTTTTTTCAGCTACAGCAGTTCTATCTGCTGCTACAGGAAGGAGTAGGGCCTCACAAAGGAAAATAAAAACATAAATCTTTGTCCTTCTCTAATCTGCAGCATTGCTATTGCCAGGTTTCTGAACTATTGCCTTTAAAATGTCAGCAGAGTGAGTCTATAAGAGAAGGGAAATATATCCGTATATGTATAGTAAACACAGAAAAGAAATAGTGAGAATAACTGAATGAGGAGTACCTGTTGAGCTGAGGAAGAAAAAGAAAAATTGTAATAATGGCAAGTAATTTTACCTTTAGCATGCTAAATGCTTTCATTTCAAGGACTTTTTACCTGGACAAACTTGCTCTTGAAGATGGGAGTAGAAGTAAAAAGAACGTACTCTACTTTGCTAAGAAGTCTCTGAATGGGCATCTGACTGCACTGCATCTGTGTTGTCTGCTGTGTCTGCTAGTGATGGACCTGGGAGAAGCCTGGGCCAGGTGTTATTTGGGTTTTCCCACCCACCATTCTCTTTGTGATTGTTAGTGGGTCTGCTTTTATCCCAGTCCCTAACAAAGGACTGTCAACTTGGCTTTTTTTGTTGTTGTTTTGGTTGGGGGGGGTTGTTTGTTTGTTTGTTGTTGCAGTTTGTCTTTGTTTGGTTTTGTGTGTGGGTTTTTTTATTTGTTTTGTTTTGTTTTGTTTTTGCTTTTTGTTGTAATCTAACCCTAGTCACCACCTCTAATTAAAAATCCAGTTAGTGGAGAAAGCTGCAGCATGATTCCTTTGCAATGAGGACTGCCAAGAGCACATTAAATCCTATCTTCTGCTCTGTTCTCTGGCTTTTGGTAAGACATTGAGCAAATTGATCGGATTTGGCCATTAGGGAGTAAATTACAGAAAGTCAGTCATGGATGTACGGTGTCAGCTATCTTTTAGATGGGCTCAAGTACCATTGCATCTGCATGTGTGCCTTTCCCTCCTAAGACTGGCAGGTAAATATCTCTCAGGCCATTTTAATTTTCATTATTCAATATCTTTAGTGATGAATAGCTACGTAGCTCTGACACAAAAGTCCTGGCAGGCAGCACAGTACACCACAACCAACCTGCTGTCACCAGCACTGGCTCCAGTTCACTCACCTACACAACTCCCCAAGCTCATTCTCTTGAGTGCAGCCCATGCCCCGAAGCCACAAATCTCTGCAGAGCCACATCCCTGGAGACTGATCACCAGCCTTGACCATGAACAAGCCTGTTCTGGTAGTTTCATCCAAATACAAGAAAGCTATAGGAAAATATTAAGCCAAAATCTTTTTTTTTTTTCTCTGCAGCATCTAAATGAATACATGAGGATGGTACTGGTTGTCTGGCAGTTCTCCAAAGCAATGCAACAGTAAGCTGAAATGAGCATAGCTGAAGAGGCAGTCAGCAACAGCAAGAAATCTAGCTGGCAAGAAACCACAAGAAAAGATCAGGCACAATAAGGTAAAACATCATATTACAGCATAGCTGTCAAACCACCAAAGCAGGTCTTTCCACAAAACATAGAAAAGATCCTCAGTGGAGGTTATCACTGCAGTCTCCATTATCAAATTGAACTGAAGGCAACTAAATTTCAGGAAGATACTCATTTACCAGGAGCAAGAACTGCAGATGGATTGCTCAAAATTGAGTGGAAGTGAGTTAAAACCACTAAGGAAGTTTAACACAGATAAAAGTAAAGTTACTCATATGAGGAAATTATTTTCTTAAACTGTAATTATCATTACTGTTTCCAGGTTGGATACTACCAATAAAGCATAAGAATTTAAGGTCATCTCTTTTAAGAAAATAAGAATATTACCAATAAAGCATGAGATTTCTAAAATCTGTAAAAACATATCATTCAGAAATACTGAAGAAAAAATATATTCGGAAATAGAGAACTAACAGAAGTCATCATGATGTGGTTAGTACGAGACAGGAGTGCATTTTAATATGTATGCAGTTCTGATCTCGTTTCTGACAGAATATAATAAACATGAAAAGGGTAAAAGAGGAGCAACAGGGATGGGTGATGTGGTTTAAGGATGGTAGTGACAGTGCTGCATTGATGGTTGGACTTGATGATTTTAAAGGTCCTTTCCAATGTTGATGGTTCCATGAATCTGTGATAGAGATCCTCCAATTTACAGACCCTTGCATATGGTCTGTGACCACAAAGGGCAGACTACATAGATTAAGACATTCAATTCAGAAGATACCCATCTATAAAATTATGGGTGGCAAAGTGAGGGTGACTTCTCTTTATCTGCTCCAACAAAAAAATTAAGAGGCATCAAACAGAAGTAGGAGATGGCAGATTCAGAATAAAACAGAGGAGATGCTGCTTCATGGGAGTTTTTGCCACAAACATTGGGTGGGGGTAAATTTTGGAATCTGGATAAGTATCTCCTTGCCATACATTTATACTTTTCTGGAGGTATGAACTATTGGCCAGTATTTTGCAGAGGGCCAGTTTGAAAAAAAAATTCTAAAAGTGCACAGGCTACACAGTGTAAGGATGATTCTGGCCCTACTTTGTTTCCTTCTCAGCAGTTTCTAACACAGAAGCTTCTCCTGCTAGTGAACATTGCCAGTGTAGGGAGCTGTGTTTGAAAATGTCCGTGTTGGCTTCTTGGTCCAAGGTCTAGGCTGTACATGGTCGTAAAATTGGGTCCCCCTTAGTGGTCCAACCAGCACAACATTTCAAAATGACTCAGTCACTGGTTACTTTGCCATAACAGATGGACCTAGATAGGAAAGACTCTTGTCAGACACATTAATGTGTTATATTGTATTGGGCCATAGTAATGTCTGCATGAGAATGCCAGGTACTGACAAAAACCACTTTGCATGCTTCCTTGTCAGTCCAGTGGGGCATTTTTTTGTGTGCTAATATATATGTGTGTATATATATATTTAAATACTTACCTTTCATTTTATCTTCCTCTTTTCTTGAAATAACTTTATTTTTTTAATCCCTGGTTATCAAGGTCAGGGTAATACCTTTGTATTCTATGGTATGCTCAGATAATCTGCAGAGTTAGTAGAGTACAATAAGGTTTCAGTTTTGCTTGTGAATTAACTCTGCACAAATTACTTTGTTGCTTGCATTTTTAAACACAAATTGGGTCGATGGAAATGCAGAAGTCCTTGCATTGGGACAGAGCATGCTTGGTTATTGCTGTATGGTGCTGGGATAGAGCAAGTCTTCTGAGCCAGATCAGTCTAAAACTAGAGAGCTACTGAGCCTCTGTGCATCACCTTTTGAAGGCTTTATATTCAAAGAACTTTATCAGCTTGTGTGCAATATGGCACAAATGCAAAGAGCAAGTCTTAATTTAATGCTGAATATGAGTCACTGAGCCCTTCCAGAAAACATGCAGCTAGCAGCAGCTCATGAGGTTGTAGTATTTGCAAAATGTGCAGGCTTTTCCTCCCCACAAATTACCTGAGATTTGCCTGCATTTCAATGCTGACTTTAAATCCAGCATGACAACTCATCTTTGAATAGAGGCTAGAATAGATTTACTAGAAAACATCAGTCAAGTTTGAAAGAAAATAACCAACCAAAACAACCCTTAAGAAAACACAGAAGAAACACCAGTGTGGTATGGCTTTTTTCACTTGGAGTAAATATGGAAATCCAGCTGCTGATAGTATCATGCTGAAAATGCTATGCTTTGTCTCTTGAGACCAGCTGGCACTAGGAGGGTGAAGGGTTACAGTTGCTAAAGATCATGTTCTTCATCATGAGGATAAGGCACTTAATTGCAACTTATGGACCAAATACAGGAATGGGAAGCTATAACTTGTTCTACAGATTGCTGCTTTAATGACCACCAGCTGCTACAGCTGTTCTACCCATACAAACTTTTTGTCATCAAAAGTTGTGACTTTGATTGTCCATCTCTCCTAGAGGAGCCCGCTTTTTTTGAGTACATGCAGAAATGATCTTCCATGTCTAACCTGTAGGCCTTAAGTTTCAACTTTTACATGGGAGTAACACCAGTGGGCTTTAGAATCAAGATGGAGACTACTGTTAGATATAAAGCATTCAAGAAAAGAGTTTTTTACCTGGAATTTTAGGAATGTATAAAATACCCTCACAAAAGAAATGTTAGGTTGGGAATATATTCCTGAATTTATTTGAGATAAAAGTCTATTAGAAATGTATGGAAAGTGCCAGCAAAAATGGCAGATAATTTTCATGACACCCCCCCCACCCCCCCCAGTATTAAAAAATAGGTTCAATTTGCCAGCTAAAGCTAAATAAAATTTTAAATTTTTGGCAAATTTTGTGCTTGAGCATTTCAACATCTACTCTTACTTGTTGTTCTTAGTTTCCTGTCAGGTAAGAGTATAAGAATCATTAACTGTCAGCCCCAACTTTTGCTTGATAACATAGCCTGATTTGGGCTCTGACTCCTCATTTGTATTTCTTCTGAGGAAACAGAGGTAGGAGAGTGTGAAAATGTCAAAGTTCTATATCCAAATGTATCAAATGCATGTACTCAAGGAGTAGACTCTACCTTTTAAAACAACTATTGAACTTGATTGCTAGTGAGTCTTATGTTATTGGTGTCCTTTATAAACTTCTGATTTTCATTACACATTCTACCTATAATAACCCTTAACTACATTGCAATGATCATTATAATAGATATGCTTAAATACCCAATGTTCTGCATTATTTCTCAGAGATGAGTTAACCCCCCTCTCTCTTCCTTCTGTGGTTTAAAATTTTAGTACAGTAAAAGGAGCCATCCATGAATTTAATTTGGTAACACGCTGCTGCTATATGGAGAGATCACAAATGTGGACACATAGTCCAGAACAAAAAACCTATGATCAGCAAGTTGTGTTAATTGTTTCTATGAACAATCCATCCCTTGATTGCCTCTAAATACACTATATGCCTACCTACCTCCAACATTTGCAATGGCCCACGCAGGGAATTTAGCAGCAGACAGAGTTTGGTTTTAAAACCAGCCTAGAGGGATGCCCTCTGCAGTTATCATAGAACAACAGCTCTGGTTCACTGTGGCAGTCAGGATTTAAATTTTCTGTGTTCTCCCTGACTAAGTCTTCAAAAAATACTATAGATAAATGCCCTGGCTTCACAAATGGAGTTGATGGGATAGCATTTTACCCATGAAGTCAAAGAAACAAGTTGTTGGGCACTGCTATGGTCTTAATCCCAGATGAAATGTAAAGCTACCAAAATATACAGTCTGTTGGGAGCTGAAAAGTCCTTATCTCAGGAAAAAAAAAAACAAAAACCAGAAAAAGAACACATTATCAAATTCCAGACAGTGCAGCACAAGAGTTTGCAAATGCTATGCAATTTATATGGTGAAAAGAAGTATTCTCCAGCTTTGATTAGTCTGATTGTAACTTCACCCCACCTCCAAGTGCTGCTTCTGTGTTGTCCCTTGGGAGGTGTGAGAGAGAGCTCACTCTGTAGTTTCAGTTCACGCATGACACTGTGCATGAGAGAAAGCCCTAGATTGGACATACTACTTCTCTTCCTCCCTACACTCTTCCCCCACCCCAAATACCCTCTTAAATCACTGCTATTTTGTTTCAAACAACAAGGCTGAACAGGTGAAATTTTAAATAATGATTGAGGATTTTTTTTATTCATTTAAGTTTCAGTATCATTACAGAAAATGTTATGGTACAGAGTTGTTTAACATTAGTTTTATTTCTTTGCTCATTTAATTTCCACATGAATGCTGGTAACACTAATATCTGTACAAGATCAGTCTTTGATTTTTTTTAGTTTTTAGTTCTGTACATTTTTAAATGTATTGGTTAAAAAGGCTGTCAGCACTTAAGGAAGCAATTTTTTTGTTTGTTGAAATAAAAGGTATCCAGTTACTGCCCAAGAGTACTGAGCTGGGTGGCTGCTGGGACAAGAGACATCCCTGAATGAGCGGCGAGGTGAGAAAACCTCGGGGCTTCATCGGGTTCCCAGTGCAGCCACTCTGCTTTTGGCACTGTGCACATCAACACGAGATACAAGATAAAGAACAAGCAGAAGCTCTCTGTGAAGCGGTTATGAAGCATACTAATAAGGGAAATCCAAGTGTTGTCTACGCTAGTATAAATAAGCAGACAGCCTTGTTTTAAGAGCGTAAGTAGTTGTATCTTAAAGATGAGAAAAAACACAAGTTCCGCAGGCACCTACTGCTGTCTACTAAAAGCTACCGCTATTAGAACTAGCATTGAACACACAAAGCAATTGCAAGAAAAGGAAAAAGTTGCTTTGATATAATCAGAATAAATTTCTTTGTTAAGATTTGTTTTAAAGTTTTTTTTTAAAAGGTATTTATTTAAATTCCATTTGAAATATATTTCAAGATGTTGACTATACTGATCAACTTTTATCCAAATCGGAAAAACTAGCTGTGCCGTTGCATATTACAGGATACAGTCAATGATATGTGGACATGCATCAAAGCTTCGCTCTTGCTGGTGACATCATAGCCTTCCGATGACCATGACATCCACCACCTCCCCCTTGTGAAGCTCCACATACTGCTCTGTCTTTGGAGGTAGCATCAACAGTCCATTGGCACTGCGCATACTCATCAGACGACTGCTCATCTGATTCCCTACAGGAGAGAGGCAGAACAATTTCAGTGGAGTCTTCAGTTAGTTCCAAATGCCGCAACATGGTGCAACAAACCAAAGCTGTTATGATGAAAATGTTTATGTGGCTAACTTATTCATGGAGCTGGGATCTTGCTGTTCCAAGGTGGATGGAAACAACTCTGTGGAGATTTAGCAGCCTCTCACTGCACTGGCTCTCAAAACCATCACTCTCATTGCTGATTGCTCTCCTATCCAGCCTTCCACATTATCTGTACCATGTATCTTGTCCTAGTAAATTGCTAATACTATCAAAATTACTTTATTTTTCAATTTGTACACCTATTCCAGTTATACAAATGTAAAAATCAGCACAGTCTAGAATGTTTTTAATATCCTCCTCTAGAATAAATTTTATTAACTCTATTCTCTCTGAATAGAATAATTTAGGTTGGAAAAAACCTCCAAGATCATTAAGTCCAACCTCTTTGACAGAACAGCACCATTTCAAGTAAACTATAACACTAAGTGCCATGTCCAGTTGTTTCTTGAACTCTTTGAGGGATGGTGACTCCACCACTTGCCTTGGCAGCCTGTTCCAATGTTCAACAGCCCTTTCAAGAGGAAATTCTTCCAGACGTCCAACCTGAGCCTCCATTAGTGCAGCTTGAGGCCATTTCCTCTTGTTCTGTCACTTGTTTCCAACCCACTTGGCTACAACTTTCTTTCAGGTGGTTACAGAGAGTGATAAGAGCTCCTGCGATTCTCCTTTCTCCAGGCTAAACACTCCACCTCCCTCAGCCACTCCTCATAGAACTTGGTCTCCAAACCCCTCACCAGGTTCCCTGCTCGTCTCTGGAAATTCCCCAGCACCTCAATGACTTTCTTGTACTGAGGTGCCCAGAACAGAACTAATATTTTCCCTGTGGAGACTCATATATAGTGCTTTTTGTTGAACAATTTGGATGTAGCAAAAAGACAATTAGTTGTTTAAGGACCTAAATCTCTTGCAAAAGTGTCACAGTCGGCTTTCTAGCAGTATATAGGCTAAACCAGTATTCAAATCTAGTATTTACCTCAACTGCAGCTGAGTATTCAGAAGTATTCCTAGGTGGCAAACATGACTAATAAATCCTTGGTATACCTTAAAAGAACATCTTGAGCCTCTGCTATGTTTTCTGCTTTTCCAGTTCAGCAAAAATTACACTTATTTGTATTAAGCCTACCTCTGCCCCAGCTTGTGTTTGTTTAGTGCATGCACAACAGCAAAAGAAAGCAAATGTGCCTGACTGCAAGTAAGCTTAGTGGATGTTTATAAAAAGGAGTGTATGCACATATGCAAGTATACACATGTAATGTTTGTGT